CTGCCTGCCTCGACCTCCCAAAGTGCTGGGATTACAGGCATGAGCCATCACAGCTGGTGATTTTATTTTTAAATTGAAATTCCTTTATCTCTAAATAGAGATAATAAATCTCAGATTTGTTGTAAAGCTAATTGGACAGCTAAGTTTCACTGTTGTGGTATCTATAAGCAGAGACTATGAGCTCCTTGAGGGCAAATAGGCACGGCGGCTCACACCAAGATCGTGCCACTGCGCTCCAGCCTGGGCAACAGAGTGAGATTCTGTCTCGGGGGAAAAAAAAAAAAAGTGCCTTCACTGATTTGTGTATGTTCTGTTCCCACTCAGACCCCACCAGCATCATCACAAAGGAGCCCCTGACTTTCAACGCTGACAGTATTTACCATGTGACTCATTAAATACTAGTGATTGCTTTTACTGAGTCAGTGGTAAAAACATTTTCCTCTATAAGGTTTGCTACTACACTGTTTAACTAAATTGCCTTAGTTACTTTACAAAATTATAAAGTAAAATTGTAAACCTTAGTTCACTGAAAAATGCCAGTACTTCTTGCTGTATCAGAAAAACTCAAATAAAATATTTTTATCCCTGACCTTTCCTGGAGATAGTACCTCTTAGTAAACAAATATTATCTTTTGATTTTGAGGCAGTCCTAAGTACACCTTGTTCAAGGAATAATAATTGTTTGCTAAAATTTGGATCTCTAACTTCTCATGCATTCAACAAGTATTTGTTGCTTACTTACTCTGAACAAGGTGTATGCCAAGGACTGTTCTTGGCACTGGAGATAGAGTAATGCAAAAAAACAAAAGAAATAACAATTCCTGCACTCCCAGGCCTTATATCCTGGCAAGGGAAGAGAGCAAAGCAGAGAAGGGGAAAAATGATTGCACAAGATGAGGTGAAGAGAGACACAGGGAGAAAGCAAAGATCACAGGTTTAAAGAGAGTGGTCAGGGGCCAAGCACAGTGGCTCACACCTGTAATTCCAGCACTTTAGGAGGCCAAGGCTGAGGATCCCTTGAAGCCAATAAATCAAGACCAGCCTGCACGGCATACTGAAACTCCCATCTCTACAAAAATTTTAAAAGCCAGCCGGACGTGGTGGTGTGCACCAGTGGTCCCAAGTACTTGGGAGGCTGGAGCGGGAGGACTGCTTGAGCCCAGGAGTTTGAGGCTGCAGTGAGCTATGATTGTGCCACTGCAGTCTAGCCTGGGTGACACAGCAAGACCCCATCCCCCAAAAAAAGGAGTACAAAGGCCTCACAGAAAATTACATTTGAGGAATGATCCGAGGAGCTATTGGGATGAGTCACGTGGATTATCTCTGGGAAGAACATTCCAGGCAGAGGCAACTGGAGGCAACTAAAATATTCCTCCCTAAAACACTGGAGATTATAGTGAAAAGGTTAAAACAGTCTCCTTTCTGCCTTGATCAGCTCGTAACCAAAGCTCAGAGACAGCACTGCCAGAGGACCCAGGAACAGACTTCACTCTTCCCATCAATTTACCTTCCCGCATTTTCTCACCTTTTGGAAGCCTGAAGATGGTCTTTTCTTTGTCTTGTCACTAGATAGGATTCGTAGCTCTTTGTTAAAATACTATTTAAGCAAAGCCCCTAAGCCACTGCTTAGAGAGAGAAATATTTTTGAACTGAAGGCTCTCCTGTGCGTTGGGTACGACACACATTAATAAACTTCCGTTTATTTTTCTTTTGTTAATCTGACTTTTATTTTCAGGACAGTGTCTCAACTAAAAACCCAAAAAGGGGAAAAAAAGAAATTGTTTTCTCCCCTGCACAACAATAAGTACAAAAGCCTTGAAAAGAGGCCACGCTTGGTGTTTTGGATTTTCTAGTACCCACACTTAAGAGAAAAAAGAACAGAGGATATTAACTGTAATAATATATTTTATTTAACCTAATATAAAATATTTCAAAATATGATCAATATAAAAATTATTGAAATATTTTACATTTTTTCCTACAAAGTCTTCAAAGTCCAGGGTGCGTGTTGCACTTACAACACATCTCAATTGAGACTAGTCACATTTCAAATACTCAGCCATGTGTGGCTACCTTATTGGACAAGGAAGGTCTGTTTTTCCGAATTGTCCCAGTAATACCTTTTACAGCATACACACACACAAACATACCCACACACAAACATACCCACACACAGACACATACACATGTATTTATGTACAGAATCCAAGCAGGGATTACATTTTTATTTTTATTTATTTACTTATTTTTCAAGACGGAGTTTCACTCTTGTTGCCTAGGCTGGAGTGCAATGGCGCAATCCTGGCTCACCGCAACCTCCGCCTCCTGGGTTCAAGTGATTCTCCTGCCTCAGCCGGCTGAGTAGCTGGAATTACAGGCATGTGCCACCATGCCCGGCTAATTATGTATTTTTAGTAGAGATGGGGTTTCGCCATGTTGGTCAGGCTGGTCTTGAACTCCTGACCTCAGATGATCTGCCCACCTCAGCCTTCCAAAGTGCTGGGATTACAGCCATGAGCCACCGCACCTGGCCATTTATTTTTTATTTTTTATTTTTTGAGGATGGAGCTTCACACTTGTCACCCAGGTTGGAGTGCAATGGCCAGATCTCAGCTCACTGCAACCTCTGCCTCCCAGGTTCAAGTGATTCTCCTGCCTCAGCCTCCTGAGTAGCTGGGATTACAGGCATGCACCACCATGCCTGGCTACTTTTTGTATTTTTAGTAGAAAAGGGGTTTCACTATATTGACCAGGCTGGTCTCGAACTTCTGACCTCAAATGGTCCTCCTGCCTTGGCCTCCCAAAGTGCTGGGATTATAGGTGAGAGCCACTGTACCTGGCCTACATTTTTATTTTAGTTGTCATGTCTCTCAGGCTCTTTTAATGTAGCAGAGTAACCCCAATTTTTTTTAAGCTTTCACACATTAATATATTTGAAGAGCATATGCAGGTATATTCTGTAGACTGTCTCAAATTTGGGATATGTTTTAAAGTAGAGCCAATACATTCGTTGATAAGTTGAAAATGAGATGTTAGACAGATAGAAGCCAAGGATGAATCTAGAATTTTTTACCTGAACAACTAGGAGGATGTAATACCATCTTCCAAGATACCGAAACTGAGAAGCAGCAGGTCTAGGGAGGAAGACTTGGAACTCAGTTTTGGACATGTTAAAACTGAAAAGCGTCTTGGACATTTAAATGGGGATATCAAGCTTATGACTGAATATGAGTCTGGAGTTCAGGTGAGAAATCCAGTTAAAGATATAAAATTGGAGCAGGCGTAGTGGCTCATGCCTGTAATCACAGCACTTTGGGAGGCCAAGGTGGGAGGATTGCTTGAAGCTAGGAGTTCAAAACAGACTGGACAACATAGTGAGACCCCCATTTCTTAAAAAAAAAAAATTTAAAAACTTGCTAGATGTGGTGGCCTATTGTCCCTGCTACTCAGGAAGTTGAGGCAGGAGGATCACTTGAGCCCAGGAGATCAAGGCCGCAATGAGCTATGATTGGGCCACTGCACTCCAGCCTGGGAAACAGGGCAACATGTCTCAAAAAAAAATTATATATACATATAATTAATATAATATATACATAATATATATAATTGGGAGTCTTCAGCATATGGGTAATAGTTAAAGCCATAAACTGGTTTATCTTATCTAGAAAGTATAGATAAAGAAAAAGGGCCAGGCATGGTGGCACGCCTGTAATCCCAGCATTTAGGAAGCCTAGGTGGGTGGATTATTTGAGCCCAGGAGTTCAAGACCAGCCTGGGCAACATGGCAAAACCTCATCTCTACAGAAAAATTAGCTGGTCATGGTGGTGTGCACCTGTGGTTCCCAGATACTCAGAAGGCTGAGGTAGGGGGATCACCTGAGCCCAGGAGGTCGAGGCTACAGTGGGCCAAGATCATGCTACTGCACTCCAGCCTGGGGGACAGAGAGACCTAGTCTCAAAAGAAAAAAAAAGAAAAAGAAAATAAAAGAACACATACAAAGATTGATGAACCTTGGGGCCTCTAATATTTAGAGGTCATAAAGAAGAAGAGGAACCAGTAAAGGAAAATGATGAGTGGCCAGGAGGAGAAAAATTAGGAGTGTGATATCTTAGAAGCTGGGTGAAATATGTTTCAGAGGGAAAGGAGTGTCAAATGTCAAAGACTGACAATTCAATGACCCTAACAGGCAATGTCAGTGGAGTCATGGGGTTGAAATCTTATTTGGAATTCATGCAAGAAAGAATGAGAAAGACTGGAGATGGGGAGTATAGCAGCTCTTTAAAGAGCTGTACTGTAAAGGGGAGCGGGGAAGTGAATGTGCAGTCGCTGCGGGGAGAAAGTAAATGAAGTCAAGAGAGTTTTCTTTCTGTAATGAGAAAAAAAGTATGGCGTGTTTGTCGATAATGCAAAGGGTCCAGTTGAGATGGAAAAATTACTAAGATAAGAGAATTGTAGAGCAACATTCTTGAGGTGAGAGGAACTGATTGACATCTACTGCACAAACAGAGAGAGTATCCATAGTAACAGGAGGAAAGTCAGAGTCTATGGGTACCGTAGATGCAGATAGGTGGGTGAATGCACTGGTAAGAGTTATGCAAGGTGTCTTTTCATTGCTCTATTTTCTCAGCAAAATAAGATAAATCTATGATGTAGAGAACTCTCTTTGGGTAGCAAACAAGCAAAAGAGGTAACAATACTATGAAAGATCGATGGAAAGAAGAAAGTACATGTTGGAATAATCAGACTAGAATGGGTAAGTTCCAAATATACCCTGCCTGAGAAAAGGTTCAAAGACAATAGTGAGATTCATGTGCATTAGGGGAAACAAGTTTAAGTTGAGGTTTTATACACCAGAGAAATGAAAGTAAAATTGGTTTAGTCCAAATAGTAGAAGGCCTTCAATGACAAGCTGAAGAATTTAGGCATCTATTGCTTTCCCTGGTTTGTATATTCCATTCCACAGTGTTGCTAAGTGATGTATTCCAGAGTTCTTGATTGTGAACTCCTGTGACTGCCAGTGATGCACCTGAAGGACCATTGGCCTTTTTCCACAATGGCTAACAGCCGATTTTCTTGTAGGCAAATTTGGGTTAAGATGTATGGGTATTTTGCGGGGCTGTGTCGGCATTTCCAGAAATACTGCTGTGCCACTGTTAAGGGCTTTTTTGTTAAGAAGAAGGAAGAACAAATCCCTTCAACTGAGACTTATTTTCATAAGGAAAAAATTGTTGTGCTTGGTCAAGTGTTGATGAATGAATCCCTACCCATTGAGAGGAGAGCTCAAGCCGCCCAGAAAATTGGACTGCTGGCCTTCACAGGTACTGATCTAACTGGCTGTACTAAAATGAGTGTTTCATGACACTCATTTTATAACGCTGTAGTTTAGTAATTTTTCTTAGCTGTAATCTTAAAATTCTGATATTTCATTGGATGAAATTTTTTTGTCCTTGTGCCAAAAATATTACTAATTATTTTATCCTCAAGGATCTCATGTTTTAAAAGAATGTGCCCATCAAATAAACTACTAATTAAATGTCTCCCATTTTTATTAATTAAAATATATATGTACTAAACTGCCTATCAAACTTCTCATTAACATTTTAAAAAATCAAAGACTACAATGATTTGATATAATTTCAACCTAGTGATATGATTCCAATGCAGAGTAAAACTACCTGATATTTTACTTTTTATTTTATGCATTGTACAGTAAATATCTTAGAAAAATCAATAAAAACTTAATACTCTTAAGATACTTACTAGGTAAGCCAATGGGGCATTAGTGACAGACAACAATTAATGTATACTTGGCTAGAAAGCAAAGTGGAAAATAAAGTGGTAACTGTTTGAACACACATTGCTCTAATAATCATCAAGTCCAAACTCACTCCATTTTTTTCTAATTGATAAATTTTAGGATGTGTAATGAGATTTTATAGACTGTCCTCAATAACACATTTCCTAACAAGAAGCTCTGGCTGGTGGCTATAAGAGTCTTTGATTATGTTTATTATTATTATTAGTTTTGTTTTGTTTTGTTTCGTTTTTTGTCTTTTTTTTTTTTTTAGACAGAATTTTGCTCTTTTTGCCCAGGCTGGAGTGCAATGGCGCTCGACTCACTGCAACCTCCGCCTCCTGGGTTCAAGTGATTCTCCTGCCTCAGTCTCCCAAGTAGCTGGGATTACAGGCAGCTGCCACCATGCCTGGCTAATTTGTTTTTTGGGGTTTTTTTTTGTATTTTTAGTAGAGACGGGGTTTCGCAGTGTAGGCCAGGATGGTCTTGATCTCTTGACCTCGTGATCCGCCCACCTCGGCCTCCCAAAGTGCTGGGATTACAGGCATGAGCCACCGCGCCCGGCCTATTATTATTATTATTATTTTGAGATGGAGTTTGAATCTTGTTGTCCAGGCTTGAATGCAGTGGCGCGACCTCGGCTCACCGCAACAACCTACTCCTCCAGGGTTCACGCCATTCTCCTGCCTCAGCCTCCCTAGTAGCTGGGATTACAGGTGCCCGCCACCACGCCCAGCTAATTTTTTGTATTTTTAGTAGAGACAGGGTTTCAGCATGTTGGCCAGGCTGGTCTCGAACTTCTGACCTCAGATGGTCCACCCACTTCGGCCTCCCAAAGTGCTGGGATTACAGGCATAAGCCACCACACCCAGCCCTTAGACTGAGTTTTAAGTGGGAAGATGAATTACTTAGATGTAATTTGATAGACTAAATCTTTCAAAGAATGGAGTTCATGAAAGAAAACAGTGAAAGGAGTCCTTGTTGCCAGAATGGCTGGGAACCACTGGCACAGAGTTAGAAAGGAGACAGGAAACATAGGAGATGCACCCATCTGAGTGGGGACTAAGGGCTCCCCCAACGTGGCGTGGGGTGAGTTTCCTGTGTAGCTATCTTCACCATTTGTGGGAAGAGCTAGCTAATTATAAAAGGATCAGAATTCCTTAATTTGATGGTATTTAGCCTTAGCTGTTCTGGTAGGAAGCTAGGGAAAGGGCCTCTGCCTAGGCTTCAGGTAAAGCTTTAATATTGAATAGAATATTCTTAGGACCATGGAACCGTGGAGAACAAGGAAGAGAAATCCAAGTGGGATCAAAACTCCAGTGGCGCCAAGGGTGGTGGCTATACCTGCAATCCCAGCACTTTGGGAGGCGGAGGTGGGTGGATCACCTGAGGTCAGGAGTTCAAAACAAGCCTGGCCAACATGATGAAACCTCGTCTGTACTAAAACTACAAAAATTAGCCGGGTGTGGTGGCACGTTCCTGTAATTCCAGCTACTCAAGAGGCTGAGGCAGTAGAATTGCTTGAACCCAGGAGATGGAGGTTGCAGTAAGCTGAGATCACGTCACTGCACTCTAGCCTGTACGATAGAGTGAGACCCTGTCTCAGAAAAAAAAAAAACCCTCCTGTGGCAAGAATCCGACCAGCTTTGTCAGCTACTCCTCACCACCTAAAAAGTCTTCATCCTGTGTCCTCTTGGCTAGTACCTTGTTGGAGTTTGAGATTTGTACTGGGGCTCAGGTATATGGTGAAAGTAGAGTCTAGAGCCAGGCTGGGTCAGTGGCTAAACAAGAAAAATCTTGTAAGGTCGGGTTGGTCCCATAGCTGCAAAGAGTTGAGGCAAGAAATGTGTAAGGGGAACAGGACAGCAACGAACAAAAACTCAGGAAAACCTCCCTCCCGCCAGTCAGTCCCTGAAAGTGCTGCTCAATCTTTCAATTTGCTCTTGGCACTAATGCTCTGGGATCCTTCTCTTTTTTTTCCCCACCAGTACTAAAGGCAGATAATCCAGAATGAGACCACGAGGGATATTTGCTAAGCGAACACAGCCAGGTTTTATTCACCTTGAAATACTCACTCTTGGCCGGGCAGTGGCTCACGCCTGTAATCCTAGCACTTTGGGAGGTCAAGGCGGGTGGATCACCTGAGGTCTGGAGTTCGAGACCAGCTGATCAACATGGTGAAACCCTGTCTCTACTAAAAATACAATAAATTAGCTGGGCGTGGTAGTGCATGCCTGTAATACGAGCTACTTGAGAGGCTGATGTAGGAGAATCGCTTGAACCTGGGAAGTGGGAAGTGGAGGTTGCAGTGAGCTGAGATCATGCCATTACACTCCAGCCTGGGCAAAAAGAGCAAAACTCTGTCTCAAAAAAAAAAAAAAAAAAAGGAAAGAAAGAAATATTCACTCAATACTCACTCCTGGGTGCTTGCTTAAAGGAACCAGGGAGGAGACCAGCAAGCAGAGACCTTCCCAGGCTTTTCATATCACTGCTTGCTTATCAACACACACTTTCTTGTCTTCATGGCAGCAGCATGGGAGGTGACGGAAAAAGACAGGAAAATTCAAAGTATCCGAAGTATCCTCTATAGGGCAACAAGAATATGAACATTATGGGAGCATTCAAAGTGTTATTAGCTACTAGATACACCAAACACTTCTGGAAATGCAAATGTTTGTTTTACAGGAGGACCACCTGCTGGGAAATTTGCAGCTGAGTACATGAAAGAAGTGGCTCACTTGTTGCAAGATGAGGAGGTGGCATCAAAAATAAAGATCCTGCTGCTCCAGAGTGTGGCATGTTGGTGTTACTTAAACCCTGTCAGCCAGAAAAGAGCCCAAAGTCTGCAATTTATTCCTATTCTCATTAGTTTTCTTGAAGGCAGATTCGAGTCTACTATCGAAAGTGAAATAAACAGCTACCTCCTCCTTAAATTTTGGACTTGTTACGTTCTCTCTGTCATGACATGCAATAACTTGTCTTACGTCAAGGAGCTTAAAGAGCACAGGGCTCTAAAATACCATTTGCAAATGTTGGCTGCTGAGAATTGGTCTGGATGGACAGAGAATTTTGCAGAAGTGCTGTATTTCCTAATTGGTTTTCACAGGAATTAGTTTCTCTAAGTCCAGTTACATGTTGCAGCTCTCTGTGCCATTGTATTAACCTGGACAACTGAAATAAACAATAAAAGTCGATGTTTTCCTTTGTAGTTGAAGAGTTCTGTATAGATTTTCATATAGTTAACGGCAATAATCAAACTTCAGAAAAACAATGCTGTTTAAAATACCTCGTAGAGAGCCCATTGAGCTTGCTCATGAGTGTATTCTTTCCCATTGGGAAATAAAGATGTTAAAGCACGCAGTTAGATACAATGGGGAATATGAATGAAACCACCTTTGCACAAATGATGACAGTGAGAAAAATCTGACAGCAAAAGAAAGCTGACCTGACACCACCTTGCTTCTAACCTCTAAGCTGCCCTTGTTCATTCCTGGGCATAGGCCAAACTAACTTTGGGAAGAATTTAGTTCATAGTTTATGAAACAAAGATGATTACCTAGACTCTTCCCTGAAACAAACTCCCTCCTTGCTTGGGGACCAGACTGCTTCTATAAAACTAACACATTAGCCACAGATTGGAAATTATGGCTCAGGAGTCATGCAGCCAGAGGCCACCAGATTCCAACCTCCCCAGTTGCACCTACAGATTAGTATTGAAAAACCTAAGGTTAGTATTTGAGGTATTTTTCAGATCCTGCATTCTGATGGATCAGCTGGCACCACCCAGACTGCCAAGCTGGTTCTTTTGATCTTATGGTCACCAACCAGCAACTGACTCAGCACAAGAGGACAAGTTCCAGCCTCCTATGATTTCATCCCCAACAGAACCAATCGGCATTCCCCATTCCCTAGCCCACTGCCCACAAAGCTATCCTTAAAAAACCCCAGCCTCCAAATTTTCAGAGAGGCTGATCTGAGTAATATTAAAACTCCGGTCTCCCATTTAGCCAGCTCTATGTGTATTAAAATCTTTCTCTATTGCAGTTCCCCTGTCTTGATAAATCTGCTCTGTCTGGGCAAAGAGCAAGAAGAACTCATGGGGCAGTTACATGAACACTTGTAAAATTACAGAACTGGAATATTATTTTTTGCCACCTATTATACAAAGGAGAGAGAATGTATATCCTCAATGTCTACCATTAAATCATGAAACTCTTATTTTCTAATATACCTTTTTTGCAGTTGATTAAAAATATGTATTTTATAATTGATTTCCCATGGAAAAAAATATATGCTGGTATTTTATTTTAACCATATGCTTCTGTGTGGTTAAAAAAAAATTATTAAAAGTTAAAAAAGACCTCATAAAAATTAATTTCATAAAATTGAAATTCATCAGAAGATGCATCATGTATATAACTGTTAGGAGTAATGGTGCACTTTGGGAGTTATTAGATGACATTAAACCAAGGCACCCAGAAAAGCCAAATCCTAGCCCCACCCACAGCCAACTCCTTCAGCAGGCACTATTGACCCACCTGAATCCTTTCAGCCCTATTTCAGTACAGAACCTCCGGTGGCGGTGCTTTTGAGGTGGTTCTCGAGCTATCAGAGCATGATGTGGTTGCACATAGGGCTGACTGAGTTAGCACTGGAATTGGCACTCTTCTTGCCTACCTCCACCTGTAGCAGCCCCGCAACTCCACTGGCACGAACGTCTGGATGGAGATGGAGCACGTGTGTTCCAATGACTAAAGTTAGGTAGGCTCTTAGATTTTCATAAAAAGATGTTATTCTCTCTGTTTTGTCTACTAATCTGCAACAGAACACCTGCACTCTATGTGTGTTAACCAACCTTATCAAAAATTTTATTCGAAAAAATAATATTGGCAGAAAAGTGCCTAAGGGATATGTACCTGATTCTCTAACAACAGTTAGAGAATCTAGCTTCTCTAGCTTCAGTTGCAACCATAACATTGAATTACGTACTTTCATCTTTCACAGACTTGCTTTGACTGAGCTGTGCTATAGTGTTAGACACAGAGGGGGCTATTAAAAAAAAAAGTAACGTAGATTCGTGATCCTCACTTGTATTTGGGACAGGAATGTTGTGGAGGATGCTAATCACATCATCAGATGGGGTTTCCTTAAGAAGGATCTGGAGGGGAATTTTCTCAGATCTTAGACCAGAAAAAGCTATGTTCTGCTGAGCATTTCCATTCTTTGTGGTTTTGTGAAGTGTGGAATGTAGAGTTTCTCAACTAGAATCTAGTTGATAGGAATAGATTAAGGGTTGGAAACTGGAAGTTCCATTTAGATACTGAATTACTGTCAGGAAGTACTTTTTTTTTTTTGGTTAATTCTATTTGTTTATTTATTTATTTTAAGATAGCCTCTTACTCTTTCATCTGGGCTGGAGTGCAGTGGTGCAATCATAGCTCATGCCACTGAGCTATGAACCTTATCAAGACAGGGGAATCGCAATAGAGAAAGAGCTTAATACACGTAGAGCTGGCTAAATAGGAGACCAGAGTTTTGTTATTACTCAAATCAGCCTCTGAAAATTTGGAGGCATAAATCATACATAACCTTGAACTCCTGGGCTCAAACAATCCTCCTGCCTCAGCCTCTCATGGAGCTAGAATTACAGGTGCAAGCCACTATGCCCTGCTCATTTCTTTTTCATATATGTGTATATATGTGTGTGTGTGTATAGATATGTGAAAAGTTTACACACACGTTTTTAAAATAGAGATGGAGTCTTGCTATTTTGCCCAGGCTGATCTCGAACTCCCAGGCTGAAGCATTCCCCCCTGCCTTGGCCTCCCATAGTTTTGGGATTACAGGCGTCAGCCACCACATTCAGCCTTTTAATGCTTTTAAAATTAAGTTTTTATTTCAAAGAAATGCACGTACACAGTTTAAAAAGTGAAATTAATGCGAGGCCTCTAGTGAGAAACAGCAGCCCCTGAGTCCCCTCCTCATTTACACTCCCAGAGGGAACCATCTGAATTCTTTCAGTTGTTTCTTTTGGTATTTGTTTACCTCCATATTTCTAAATAATTTATATACATTGTTAATTCTTGTCTTTTTTTTTTTTCAATTTTGGGGATTTTTGTTCTTCCTTCTGAATAGGACAGATGGAATTCTAACACTCATCTTGCCTACCTCCACCTGCCTTCCTCTTCCTCTCGATGTAATTATGTCACAATTGTTGATTTAAAAAATATGAGAGCTGGGCACAGTGGCTCACACCTGTAATCCCAGCACTTTGGGAAGCTGAAGTGGGAAGACTGCTTGAGGCTAGCTTGGGTAACATAGCAAGACCCAGCTCTGTTATAAATAAATAAATTAATTAAAACGCAATATGATTAATTCCGTATTTTTCAAGGCTAAGTCATACAGGATACTATGATTACACTTCCTTCTTTCCACAACTCTGTTTTATTTGGAGTTCTTTTGTTTTGTTTTGTTTTTGAGATGGAGTCTCGCACTATCACCCAGCCTGGAGAGCAGTGACACGATTTCGGCTCACTGCAACCTCCGCCTCCCAGGTTCAAATGATTCTCCTATCTCAGCCTCCCAAGCAGCTGGGACTACAGGCACGTGCCACCATGCCTGGCTAATTTTTTCGTATTTTTAATAGAGACGGGGTTTCATCATATTGGCCAGGCTGATCTCAAACTCCTGACCTCGCGATCCACCCACCTCCACCTCCCAAAGTGCTGGGATTACAGGCATGAGCCACCGCGCCCAGGTGGAGTTTGTTTTTAACTTAGTTTTCTGAATACCTATCACGACTTTATTCCCACACTTTCCTCTATATGTCTAACATCTCTCAATACAATCATGCATTGAGTAACTGTCAGCTCCAGCTCCACCATCTTCTTGCTCCAATCTGGGCCTGCCCTATAGCTAACAAATACAGTATTTTAGGAGTTCCCTTCAACATCCAGGACCCCCCATTACCCCTCTCATCTTGAAGCCTGTTTCCTATATACTATCTCTTCCCTTTTTCTGGTTCATTCTAACATTTAATTTGAAATTTTTTCAGTAGTTTCCGGAGAAAGAATGAAGGGGAGGTAAATGTTTCGAGCATTTGCATGTCCAATGATGTCTTTATTCTTCACTTGATTAATAATTTGAGTTCAGCCTGTCCCTGAACCAAGAGAAGCAGCTGAGAACATCATCAGTGCTCTGTGCAAGCCCTCACTCCCCAGACGAAGAAGGGAAGAGCTGAGGCAAGCACATAAGGTTTGTTCTTCCCAAAGTCACTAATCAGGTAAGTCCCTCATCTCCACTAAAACCAGGAGTGTTGCAGCTATTGGAGCTGTAGAAATAATAGATATGGAAAAGAAGCATACATGCAACCAATTAAAACGTATAAACTCATGTAAGGATAAAAAGAAAAGAAGTAGCAGCTTCTTCTGTATCTTTCCAGAAGTATTCTATCTATATACGAGAAAATATACATTTATCCCTTTCTTCGTCTTTGTTTTAACATATACTAGCATTCTATACATACATAATTTATTTCACACTTGGTTCTACATCTTAAAGAGTTTGATTCTTTTCTACTGCTTCAGAGTATTTCATTGTATGACTGTACTATACAGTTGACCTTGAACAATATGGGTTTGAACTGCTCAGGTCCACTTATATGAAGATTTTCTTCTGCCTCGGCCACCCGAGACAGCAAGTCTGCCACCGAGACTCCTCTTCAGCCTACTCAATGTGAAGATTATGAGAATGAAGACTCTTACGATGAACCACTTCTGCTTAATGAATAGTAAAAAATATTTTCTCTTCTTTATGATCTGCTTAATTCTTTTCTCTACTTTACTTTATAACACAGGATATAGGCCAGGTGCGGTGGTTCACACCTGTAATTCCAGCACTTTGGGAGGCTGAGGAGGTTGGATCATGAGGTCAGGAGTTTGAGACCATCCTGGCCAACATAGGGAAACCCCATCTCTACTGAAAATACAAAAAATTAGCCAGGCATGGTGGCGTGTGCCTGTAGTCCCAGCTACACAGGAGGCTGAGGCAGGAGAATCGCTTGAACCCGGGAGGCGGAGGTTGCGGATCACGCCACTGTGCTCCAGTCTGAGAAACAGAGCGAGACTCCGTCTCAAAAAAAAAAAAGGACAAAGGATATAATACATATAACATACAAAACATGTGTTAATCAACTGTTTATATTATCAG